GCCTGAAGCTTGGATCACATATGCGGCGGCGGCGGCGGCGACGACGGAAGAGGCACATGGAGAATGAGCCGATGAATGCGCTTCCTACTTATGTGTTGAAGGAGGAAGAAACAGCACACAGAAAACAGGCGTTGTGTGCTGTTGGGCGTGGTCGTGGCGTTGGTGACTGTCAGTTAACCGGTGGATTGCGGGCCTCGGGACACCAGAGCAGGAAGGCATTAGAGCAACTGCCACGGACTCAATCCTGGATTTCTTTATGACGAAATGTTATGTAGGCCAACACTAGCATATTTTATGTTTGTTGGGGCGGTCATTCCTAGCTTGTCAGTCAGCAATACCCAACTGGTTTTTATAGCTCTAGATTCAAACTCTGATTCTTTCGTCAATGAGTGTTGAACCAATTTGTTTGTGATTTGTGACACCTTCATCATCTGCTGTACTGAAACCCTGACTCTGCAACTTATTGCTCATTCGTCGTCTTTTCTTTCGGTACCCTACCTTTTTTGCTTAAGGTTTTTTGGGGTATTTACTGATGGTATTTATTGGACGGTAGACTTAGATACCTTATGAAGACTTATCCGTCAGTTTTTTTGGATAAATACTTGTCTCTGGTTTTTACAGCTGTTGCCTTTTAAAATTTAGCCTTCCAGAAAAAGCACCTCCCGAAGAAGTAAGTCCCCTGTCCAATTCCATTTGTTCACTGTATACTTGTGAAATTGGCTTCTGTGGGTATTCTTTCTCCCCCTCCTCTGGTCAACTCCACCCTTGCCCCCTTTCTGTCCTCCGCTGCTTTCCAATCATCCTGGTTTTTTTCCCCCCTTCATTTAGGAGGACGGCCCCACGGAAATTGATGGAGAGGTTTTGCCTGGTGCAAAGAGTCAACGGCGGCTGAGTAGCAGTTCGGCTGCCACCTTCGTCCTCACCCCCGGCACCCGCTCCCCCGTGCCTCCGGAGCCCGAGGCCGAACTCTCGATGGAAGAGGAGCTGTCTAGTCTGCGTGCTGAAAAGGAGAGGCTACTCAATCTCGTCTCAGACATGCAGTACTTTTCGCTCACTCTTATTGTCCACTTAAAATTGTTATATTGTAAATGTCGTACAGTAAACGTCAAGTATGCTGTCCAACAGACATGTTTGTAGGACTTTGTGTGCAGTATTTTTTTAGATTTCACGAACACCCACTGGAGCAGACTAAAATCCACGCTCTCCGGGGCTTGTCACTTGTTCCCAAATCTCCCACCTTTCATAGTTGGAGGTTTTTGAGGCAGACCCCGCGCAAAGGGTGTTCCTTATGATGCATCATTCCTCGTATGGCCGCCTGCAGCGGAGCTTTAATAATTAAAATCTACTTCCAACTTTTCAGTAGGTCGAATTTCCGACTATCCAATCACTC